CCCTACACCCTAACCCCTAACCCCTCACCCCTCAACCCTCAACCCTACCCCCTAAACCCTAAAACCCTACCCCTTAAACCCTAAAACCTAAACCCTAAACCCCCTAAACCCTAAGCCCTAAACCCTAATCCTGACTAAAAGAAAAATTATGAAGACGGGCATCTTTTCCTATCATCGAAATTGTAAGGAGCAGAAGATCACCCATCTTTGCTTTGCTGATGATATCCTCATATTCTGCCATGGTGATAGTGACTTTGTCCATGTCATAAAGGATTCCCTTGATGAGTTCTCTAGTGTATTTGGTCTCTTTCCGAGTCCGGCCAAAAGCGAGGCCTTCTACTGTAATGTCGGCCAGCACACCAAGGAGTCCATCTAATCTATTATCCAATTTCTTGAAGGTTCCCTCTCAGTTTGTTATCTTGGTGTCCCCCTCATCACTATCTGCCTCTATCATCAGGACTGTAAGGGCCTTGTTGACAAGGTCAAATCCAGACTAAATGACTGGAAGAATAAGTCCCTCTCCTTTGTCGGTAGATTGCAGCTCATCCTCTCGGTCCTGTCTTCTATGCAAATCTATTGGGCCTCTATTTTTGTTCTTCCGATTTCCATATCCAAGGAGATTGAGCAGCTCATGCGGGGATTTCTCTGGTGTCATGGTGAGCTTAAAAGGGGGGAAGCTAAGGTCTCCTGGAAGACCGTCTGCCTCCCTAAATCTCAGGGTGGCCTTGGTATTAAGAGTCTTGCCAGCTGGAATCTTGCCCTTATGGCCTCCCACACTTGGAGGATCCTTACAAACAAGGATCCTCTTTGGGTTAAATGGATCCACTCCTACAGGCTTAAAGATTGAAACTTCTGGGATGTCCCGACTCGCAGTGATGTTGGTTGGGGTTGGAGGAAGATCCTGGGCATGAGGGAAAAGATAAAAGACTTTATTGTCTCCCAGATTGGCGATGGCGCTTCCACGTCTGCCTGGTATGATAACTGGCATCCGGCTGGCCCCCTCTACCGGCATATCTCTTCCTGTAGTATTCTCAACTCTAATCTCTCTCTCTCTCTCTCTCTGTACCTCTGTTAAAGATATTGTGCTCCAGGGTAATTGGACTTGCCCTCTCCTGAGGGACAGTACAAACCCTTCTATATGTGATTCTCCCCTACCTGTCCTTTCCCCGACTACCCCTGATAAACTCCTTTGGAGAACTAGGGATGGTCGCCTTACTCCGTTCTCTGTTCATGAGGTCTGGATCTCCCTCCGTCCCAATGAGCCTGATGTCCCTTGGTATCATTTAGTCTGGTTCTCTCAAAGCATTCCCAGACATGCCTTTATTTTATGGGTTGCCCTCAAGCAGCGTCTCAAGACGCACGATAAGCTTCGTTTTTGGGAGGCCCACTCCAACCTGTCGTGTGCGTTCTGTCATAACGGGCCTGATTTGCATTCGCATCTCTTCTTTGAGTGCCCGTTCCCTAATCAGGTTTGGAATCGCTTAAAGTCCAAGCTGAACCTCACTGGTGTCCCGGATAACTGGGCTGATATTATTGGTATATTCCAGCAAGTCACCAAAGGAAAGACCATATGGTCTATTATTCATAGATTAGTGCTTGTTGGGACCGTCTACCACTTGTGGCTGGAAAGAAATAATCGCATCTTCAAAAACAAAAGAAGATCCCAGAGTATGGTGGTGAAGACAATTACCGATGATGTCCGGTCCAGGCTTCTCAGCCTGACCTTCAAGCCCTCCCCCAACGTTGTCCGGGATCGGCTTGCTTGGAACCTCCCTTAGTTTCCTGTCCTCTTGTGATGTCTTTGGGCTCGTGTGAGCTCCTTTGTTCTCTTGGTTTTCTTGGTGTGGTCTAGGGTGTGCCTGTTTTAGGCCCCTTCTCCTTCCCTTGTGGTGTCCCTCATTGCTTCCTGGTCTTGGCTTGGCTGGGCCTTTCCCTTGTGGTTGGCTTCTTCCTCTATCTCCCCTTCTTCCTCTCTCTCTCTCTCTCTCTCTCTTTGCTCTTTCTCTCCCCTCCTTTCCTCCTTCCCCTTTCTCCTTTCTCCCATTCTCCCTTTATTTCCTTTTTTCTTCTTTTTTTGTCTTCCTCCTTCTTTCCCCTCGGGGTGCCTTGGATATTCTGGTGGTTGAGGTTTGCCTCCCACCCGAGCGCTTCATTGCCTGCTTTTATCGTTTTAGTGCTTTGCCTTGATCTGAAGGGGTCTCCCCCTCCCTATCAAAAAAAAACCCTAAACCCTAACCCCTAACCCCTTCCTCGGTTGTCCAGTGATTTGCCTTCTTGAGTGTGCTCTTTTTGGTTGCTGCTTGATTTGGTTTGTGCTTTGTTTTGGTTTGGTATAGGGTGAGCCTGTTTTAGGCCCCTATTACTTCCTTTGTTGTTTCATCGTTGCTTGCCTTGGTCTTGCCTGCCTGGGCCTTTCCCTTGTGCATTGATTCTTTTCTCTCCCTTCTTTTTCCTCGGGGCTCCTCGGCTTTTTTTGGTGGTTGTGGACTCTCCCCCACAACTGCTAGATTTATTACCAGTGATATCACTCCCTCACAGGTTGATCCAAGGACATCTCAGGAGTCTGAGTAGATGGACGTATCCCCCTCATCTATGGTCTAGTGTTGAGTTTGGTCTTGTTGCCCTTCTTAGTCGGTTACTTTGTTGCTTTTGCTCTTTGTTGGTTTGGTCTAGGGTGAGCCTGATTTAGGCCCCTTTTCCTTTCCTCTGTTTGTTTCCCCGTTGCTTGCCCAGGTCCTGCCTGCCTAGGCCCTTCCTTTTTTGGTCGGTTCTCTCTTTCTCTTCTTCTCTCCCGGGGCTCTTTGGCTGTTTCTGGTGGTTGTGGATTCGCCTCCACCCGAGTGCTTTTTGTCTTGCTTTTAGTGTTTTAGTGTTTTGCCTTGATCTGGAGGGGTCTCCCCCCTCCCTATAAAAAAAACCCTTAACACTTAACCCTAAACCCTAAACCCTTAAAAACTCAAACCCTCAGATCAAGTATAATTCATGTAAATAATCTCATACCCAATCTGAAAATCGTTTAAAGGAAAAAAAAAACATTGAATATATCGTTGCATCTCCCTATTTAAACCACATTTTAACCCTTGCATACCAACAAACAACAATAATATCATAACCTGGTCGATGGTATACATAAATTCATAGAATAATTTTCAAAGCTTGATAACATAATATCATACAAATGCAATCAATTAAAGTAAATTCAAACATAAAGGGAAATGATTAATCGAATAATGCCATAGCACATGAAGAAACAACGTCGAACATTAAAACAAATATATGGATCAGGTCATACGTATTGAAGCAGCCATCATTGATTAAAACATGAATGAATATATGCAATTCAATTCAAATCAACTTGGTTTTTTCTCACACACATGAAATCAATGATTGAAAGAAACTAAAAAACATTGAATACCATTTTCAAACACGATCAAAACAGGGTAATCAATAAAACCATTGAAGAAAAATTGTTAGAGGAAAGGGGAATTAACTTATAGCGCATCCATGAAATCAATTTGGGAAGCTAGAGGGTGATAGAGAAAACCGTATACAGGGAGATCGAGCAGAGGTGATGGTGAAAATGTTTGATCACAGAGCTGGAGATTAAAAGGGGTTGAGCTTTGGGAAATGAAAAGCCTCTTCAAGAGAAGGGAGATCGACTCCAAATAGAAACTTGTGAGTAAGAGAATGAAACGGTGCATTACAAGCGTAAAAGAAGAAAAGAATACAAATTCAACTTATACATTTAGCTTCTCATGTTGTAATTAAGATATTTTTAAAAATTATGCATAAAATAGCAATATTATAAGCATAAGAATGCAAATTCAACTTGTACCTTTGAACCCCTATGCCCCAAACCCCAAATCCCCTCTACCCCCTAACCCCAAAACCCCTCTACTACCCCTAACCCTTGAACCCCCAAACTCCAAGCCCTAAAGGTAAAAAAACAAATTGTGGTATCAAATAACTACTCTGATATAAATTTTATTTTTTTTACGTTATAGCGAACGGTATCAATGGTGGCATGGGACAACAATCTGAATGAGTATTTTTGGCCTAGATCACGATCAAAATTGTTGAGTTTATATTATGGTTACTAAAAAGGAAAGTAGATTTAAAAACTTAACGAAAAAATATGGTGATTTTCTTGACGTATTAAGATTAAAAAATATTGGGAGACCTAACACTACCTCACTGAAAGATCATCATTTGGTCAACCACCTTTTCGACCCAACAATTACATATCCCCTTGGAAGGAGATTTGGATGTGGGCATAATGGCCTATATGACACAATTTAAAAATCGAATTAATTTCCAATTAGGCTTATTTTTGGTTTGTTCATGATGGCCGTGGGCTTAAGTCCCCTTAATCAGGATAATTGATTCCCTTCAGCTTCAGGACAACTGGAGGTTCACTACAAATTGAGACTTTACCCACGGGGTTTTCCATGGAAAATATGTCACTAAAGGGGTGATTCGTCATAAAAGTTGGTGGATAATTCAAATGATTGACAAATTACCCAGGTATTCTTTGGATGATCCATTGTATTTTCTTGAAAACATCAGATTCTACCGTAATCATTGGCATTTTCTAGGTGATCCGTTGGTAATCACCAACAAAAAATTCCCTGGATCATTTTTGTGGGTGAAAGTCATTTTTTTATATTAGTTTGTCTGGTCGTTAGCTACATGGCTCATGAGATTAATCGAGATGCATTGGCTTAGACACCCACGGGCACCTAAAGAGACAATAGAAGCATTTAACTACCTTTTCATAAAGGAGATGCCAAATTGGAATTATGCATTATGCGATGCAACATTTTGAGTGACAAATGGTATAAATTTAACGATTCTTCCATTATAGTTTTCTATTCTAATGATTTGCCAAATCAAAGTTTGATAAGAGTAAAACGTAAATACTTTGCCATAAAATCAATTTTTTCGAAACTTACTCCAAAAATTATAATGGAACTCAAACTAGATCTTAACATGGCTGGTGTTCATACCCTCCATCCGGTTAGCCATGATGCTAGATCTTGTGGCACTTGCGTTATCCTCCGGGGAAACATTGGTTCATTAGTTCTACTCATTTCAGATTCTGAAGCACTTGCAAACTCAGTGTTGGCATTTTCAGAACGGTCTGTATCTGAATCAAATCCAGATTCATAAACACTGGAATCCCCAATGTCTGATTTCACTGATATGTCGTCCTTCTCATTCGCATGATCATTGTATATCATGTTCGTCTTACTTGGATATTTCGGAGATGGTGGCGTTTTAGTTCCCATACTAGAAACTTCAACTTCAGTCGATTCAGTAGTTGATGCAGAGTTGTTGTTGGGTGAAACCTGCTTCCCCTGCTCTTGGATCTGCAAATTGTCAGACATTCCAATTATTTAATTTGTTTTACAACCCTTTGGTTATGAGTTTAAGTCCCTTTACATATATTATTGATGATTTATTTACCAAAAGGTCAGAGGAGTGGAATGTATGCAGACATGTCTTCTACCCCAAAGAGTAGAGCATGGCAATTATATACGAATGCACCACTTGACCGTTTCTTGACAAACCGATTAAAACATAATAATACTGGTAACTGTCATTATACTTTTTAAATCAAACCAAACAAACCTAATATATCTCACATAAAGACAAAGTAAGGGGAAAGGGTAGAGGTAGTAAAAGGCTATAATAAGCCTGACTAAGAACTAGCAACAGACGACCTCAACTAGTTGCTATTGGCAACTGTTGGCAATTGGCAGACATAGAGCTAGCTTTTTTTATTGGCTAAGATACAATACAAAATAAAAGGGATTGTATCATTGAGAGAGCAAGCATACATGGTGACTACATATATGATCTTGCAGGTTCTAATACATAAGCTAAACCCTATTAAATATATATGCCTTTAGTTGTAAGATATTTTTGGGCTATCCAGCTACAAAGTCAAATTCGATAATTAGCAGACTATTCAGATCAAAATATTGCAAAACCATCTTTTATATTAGTGAGGTTATACCTAAATCATGTCGTAAAGTCAATATTAGGGAGGAAATGGATCTGAACCCTAGAAGTGATCATCTTCGTCTTTACTTTTAGAGGATTTGACAAGAATCCTAAGCTTTGTCTATATTAGAGAAAATAGTGGTATGTCAATTCTGCTAGAGGAGGAACTATATTATTCTTAGAAAATTAGTACATAAGCCATTACCTAAAACTTGATAAAAAGGTTATAATGATAAGACCATAAAAGACTCATGAGAATTGGAATCTTCGTAAAGCTAAATTTAGAATTAAAATTTAGAAACAGTACTTTACTCTTTAGGTCTGATTTTACCTGCAACTCTTTAGAATCTTGTGTCAATGGCTTTTCTGAAGACATTTCCTCTGGTTGAACTATAACTTTATCCACAAAAGTGCCATCGTGATGGGGAGATATGACATTCGGTTGTTCATCTTTGTTATCGGGTACAACTACATATTGATCTTCAACATACGTACTTGTCTTATCCGCAGATCTATTTGTTAAAGACAATTCCTCTGATCGAGATATAATTTTCTCCTCAGAAGTGCCATTGTCATGGAAAGATGCCTTTATAGTTGAATGTTGTTCTTTATTGTCAGGTACATCCATATTTTGATCTTCATCATATCTAGATGTTTTGTCTGTGAATCTATTAGTTACAGACAATTCCTCTGGTTGGGATGTATTTTTCTCTTCATAAGTGCCCTTGTGATGGGAAGATGCATTTAGAGTCGATTGTTGCTCTTTATTATCTTGTACAACCTCGTTTTTATCTTCAACAAACCTAGTTGGCTTGTCTGGGGATCTATCTATTAAAGATGATTCCTCTAGTTGTGATACATTTTTATCCTCAGAAGTGCCTTTATGATGGGAAGATGTATTTACAGTCGATTGTTGCTCGTTATTATCTGGTACAACCTTATTTTGATCTTCAGCATACTTAGTTGGCTTGTCTAGGGATCTATCTGTTAAAGACAATTCCTCTGGTTGGGATATGTTTTTCTCCTCAAAAGTGCCCTTGTGATGGGAAGATGCCTTTACAGTTGACTGTTGGTCTTTATTATTAGGTACAACCACATTTAGATCTGAAACATACCTAGTTGTCTTGTCCATGGATTTATCCGTTAAAGACAATTCTTCTGGTTGAGATGTAATTTTTTCTTCTGAAATATCCTTAGGATGAGAATATGCCTTTACAGTCAATTGTTGCTCTTTATTATCTGGTACAACCTCATTTCGATCTTCAACAAAGCTAGTTGGCTTATCCAGGGATCTATCTATTAAAGACAATTCCTTCGGTTGGGATATAATTTTCTCCTCAGAAGTTCCCTTGGGATTGGAAGCCTTTACAGTCGACTGTTGTTCTTTATTATTAGGTATAACCACATTCTGATCTTCAGCATACCTAGCTGGCTTGTTTACGGATCTATCCCGTGAAGACAATTCCTCTGGTGGGGATATAATTTTCTCCTCGTAAGTGCCCTTGTGATGGGAGGATTTGTTGTCAGTCGTTTGTTGTTCTTTGTTATCTGGTATAGCCTCGTGTTGATATTCAGCATACTTAGTTGGTGGCGACTGGTGCCTTTTGAATATATCCATTTGCATATCAGACTTTTCAGGACCCTCAAAATAATTTGTTTTTGGAACTGATTCAAAGTTTTTATCACCTTGTTTCTCGTCATATATGTGATCAGTGACATCAGACAATGGTGATGAGCTCCAATTGCTGCTAGTTTTCTCTTGATTATCTGGATTCAAATAAACTTTGTTTGACATTAGCTCCAAAAAGAAGGTCACAATATTAATTTAGAAAACACTAATTGTACTTTCTAAATACCTTCCTCATCCATGACACTTGTTTTAACCTCGTCTGGTATGCCATCATCTGCAACCTGATAGAGCTTCATAGTGTCATCATCTTCAGACAACTGGTTTCTCTTACTAACATGTTCACTTGCCTTAGTAGTATGATAATGATCTTTTACAGGAGTGAAATCAGCTTCTCGAGAAGAGTCATCTTTAGTATGGTTCTTATGTTCCACATCATCAGTTGAATTTGTTGATTCTGTATCAGGTGTAGAGCTCAGCTTAGAGTCACTAATTTCACCCTTTTGTCTATGCATGGAAGAATAGTTTGTCACGTCTGGATTCATGCGTTCATGTACAGAGTATGGTCCTAATTGCGTGGAAGCAACTGAAGCTGAAGGATCCACATCAAAACTCTCATGGGGACGACTGAATGGAAGGTTTGATTGAAAGGGTATGGAGTTAGATTGAAAAATGGCCCTTTCTGTATCAGGTTTCTCTCCACTTGGGTCATAAGGAAGATCAAAATGATTTCTTATTGGAACCATAACAGAGGAAGTTGACCCAAGAATATGTGCATTAGAATCGTAAGAAAGATCAAAAGGATTTTTTCTAGTAGTTGAAATAAGAGTGGCATTAAAAGGAATATCAGGACTTAACTTTACCATATTCTTTTCAGCCAGAATTCTCATGTTTTTTAGTGCCTTTTGTCTAGCAATAAGTGTCTCCAAACGTTGGTTTCTCTCTACCTCCGATGTTCCCAAATTCATGAGATTCTTTTGGTCGTCCTCTGTCCATGTAATATTGGTCTCGTCCTCTTTGTCTATATTTGCTTCTCCTTCCTCTTCATCATCTTTAACTTGTATATCTTCTTCTTGATCATCATCATCATCGTCATCATCATAATCATCTGTGTCATTAATGACGTCAGTCGATTCGAGAGAATGATCTGAAGCAACATCTGTGCTAACATTAGACATGTGAGTGTGCTGAGGAACTTCAGGATGAAGTGCATCAAGCATTGGAAAGATATCAGCCACTGAAGCACTTGGTGAGGAACTCTCAGCAAGTTCAGATCCCGTCTCCCACCCTTTATTATCTTCATCTCTATGTTTTTCACCATATTTCCACAACAAACCTAGAGCAGAACTTGGGGGGTCAATTGAATTCCCCTGTAATTTGTCACTATTTTTCAATTTAGTATTTTTGCCCTCTGAAATCTTATGCTGAGACAAAACAACATTTTCTTCACCTGCATTGCCCACTTCACTCTTTCTTAATTGTTTACTCATCTTTGAATCACTACCGTCAATTGAGCTTCCTTTTTTATCAATTTGCATACTAGAATGACCAACATTAATCTTGATATTATTAACAGCACAAGTTTTCGCATTTTCACTTATCACCCCATGGAGTTCCTCACAACTAGAGCTCCCATCAATTTCTGTATCTCCTAGAACCACATTTTTCTGATTGTGGGTATCATGATGGTGTGGTTTTCCTTCTTTTGAGATTTTGGGTACATTTTGATGACCCAAGAATAATAAAGTTCCAAGTAAAATAGCAGTGGATACAATAACAGGAGAAGCATACACCAAAAGAGAAAACAATAAAGGAAATGATCGATACATCCAAATCAAATGAAAAACCATAACAACCAAGAATGGATGCCTCAAAGCTGATATATAACAACTTCTCATTGCAATATTACCGTACTTTCTCACCAATTCAACCCCCATTTTAATAATAATAAATAAAAAAAGAAGTTCCCCTTATTTCTTTCTATTTCTTTCTAATTTAACCCAACATAAGCTGTTTCACATTAAAGAACGTTGAAAACGAAAAGGTAATACCCATTAGAATAGATTAGCAAATATGGAAATATCAAATAGTTGGTATCAAAAACTAAAAGATAGTGAAGAGAGAATGAATTGAATGTGAATTACGAATTCTTTCAGAAACCAAATAATACGAAGAACGGGATAAGTCGGCGATCAGGCTTCTCAATGAACCAAAATTCTCTGAACGATTCACATTCTTTCTTCTTTTTGTCAAATTCACAGGCATGTATATTATGTTTGCAATGTGGAATTCAAAAGAACATCGGGGATGGCATTTGTTGGTGCCATGAAGGTAATAAATTTGGGGATAAATTACGAAAAACATGGCCAGCTGAATGTTTTTGCCATCTTCTCATCAAATTCCGCTATGATTTATAAATCTTAAATAAGAGTGAATTTATTCTTGGTCCCTGAACTATGTGAATTGTAACGAAACTCGTTCCTGTCTTCATTTATTCAGCATTTGCCCCTCACATTTGCATAATCATCTGGTTTTCATTCCTCCATTAACATTATGTCTTTTTTCTATTAGATTATGTTTAACAAGGGGGATTTTGATTATTTTGCATTATCCTTAATAAACAATTTAAAAATAAATTATAGGGTCAGGTTCAGGGGAAAACCACAGAAAAGAATGAAAAACTGAGGAACACTCTAGTAACCATTCATCTGAAGGGTATGCATATGTGCATGCAAATAATTTATAAGCAATTTGTGTGGTATACACATACCATAAAAACCAAAAAACAACTTCAATTGCTTGCATGCACATGTGCATACCATCCAGATGAATGACTATCAGGGTGTTCCTCAGTTTTTTATTTTTTGGTGATTTTCCCTAGAACCTCCCTTATAAATTATATTACATATATATTATACACACAAAACCCAAGGATCTCTATCATCTCCCTCTTCGATCTACAGTGAGATCATACACCAACATCAGCGAGCACCAATGGCTACCCACTTTGCACCGTCTCTAATGACTTTTGAGCACCATATGCAACTCATCTCCATCTAGAATCTCAATGTCGTCTCTATCCAAAATCTCTATGGCCTCACTTCTTCACCTACTTTAGCAACCATGACGTCATCCAGAGTTGCAAGCTCAATCCACCAAAATCATTCTAGCAAGAAAAAGTTGGTTTGACTTGGGAACATAAAGTCAACAGTTAAGTTTAGTGTTGGTTTCGATCATACTCAAGTTGATGTAGTATTAAGTTATCTTTATTTTTATTTTTAATGATAAAAATAATATATAAGGTTAAGAAGACAGATTCGCTCCTCATGTGTGGGGAACATATTGGGTTAGTGGTATTGGGGTTAACGATGTTAAATATAGGACCAAACCATTAAAAATCATTAAATAGTGACCAATAGGATAATTGAAGCATAACAAAGGGATGAATGATGCAATTCACTGATAAATCAATGATGGTAATCCCCCTCCAGGAGCCACGTACACAGGATTTTTTTATTGAATTATGGTGTCTCTCCTTGAATGAAGGAAGAAGAAGTTGGTCTGCCTCACCTTTGTTTCATTGATAATGTGTTTGATCAATGGAAACTTTATAATTTATATACTTGTTGATTTAGTTTGGATGGGGTCTTGAATTGACATTTTTATCCACAAATTTTGTTCCTGAATTAGTTTTGTGTCTGAATTCTTGACCACATAACTTCGATAAACAACTAAAGTCTGAGTATATTTTGTGTATATTTGATGGCTATTTGAATTATTGGTGGAATTGATGAAACATATTATTGTTTTATCATGTTGAAAGTTTTGATTCACCTCAACAACGCTTGTCATTTTCTTGGTATGCCGGAGTGTAGCATCAACCTAGCCCAGTGTGTTGCCTACCTGGCACATGCTCCTAAATCAGTAGCCGTATACAGAGCACTAGAGGATGCCAGGAAGGCTGTGAGAGATTCAGTTGGGYAAAATGAGGGAGTGCCTTTGCATCTGAGGAATGCGCCTACCAAGTTGATGAAAGAAGTTGGATATGCAAAAGGTTATATCTATCCTCCTGATAATCCTTCTTCGTCACTGTCCTATCTACCAGTTCCCCTTCAAGGTTCTAAGTTTCTCAACTRGCCARACAGTAGTTAAGAAGATGCATGTCATCAGAAAGCAGTTTATGATATACTTTTGTTGTGCATCATGTTTTGTTCCAAGCTGCAAATGACTAATATTATTTTTGAAACACAATGTTCTGATGTAGTAATCTTTTTATAATGTAAATGAAGTTGTAATTTAGTTGCAATTTGAAGATTATAATTATCTTGTAGACCGAAAATGATAAGCTACTTAAGAGGAGAGGTAAGATTATTGTTCYTGAATCCTGTTTCAATACATAGTAGCRTAGACCCATATTTACAGGCATTCCCCCTTTTTGGCCACACATGATGAGTGTGATGCCCTGATGACGAACTACTTATTTTTACATCATTATTTTTGACCTGAATAAATTAATGAACTTTTACTTAAATTGTAGCCACTGTTGTCAAGAAGAGATTATTTATATGCTTTTCTTTGTTACTGCTTTGTTTTTTGAATTGATCGAGTGTTGTAGCAGTAGGCGTCCATTATTCAAAGATGATTTACTTGATACACTTACAATTTTCATTAAAAACACGTGTGAAGGCATGAGTTACTTAAACAGTTTCTGATTGATTGAGGTCAGGATTTTATATTCTGATTTTTTTTATACTTGTCATTCTTGCCTTGTGCACTTACAATACATTGTTTCTAATCTCAACACTAACTTACTACTGTGATACTGTATTAGAAAACAACCTAAAATGGTTGCGCAGATTTGTAGCAGAAAGCTTGTATTGAATTTAATAATAAATAAATAAATAAATAAGAACGAGCAAATTGATTAACAACCCAAAAACTGAAAAACCCCATTTCAGTGACTAAAAGTCTAAAATATTGGAAACCCCATTTCAGTGACTAAGGTTGTGTTTAAYAATCAAACATTTGCTTATATAGTGGCAAGATGGTRATTATGAGACTAATACTAGTATATGGTTACACGTATCCATGTTTCTTGTAGCAAGGCATGGTTGATAAAAGGGTGTCATCGATGTCAAAGATCCAAGCATCCTTGCCATTTTTGTTTAGATCACAGATAGTGTAGTCTACCTTTTGTGTGTTTTAGATATGGCGAGTCCTTCCCCATTTCCGGGGAATCCCTTGATTCAAGTTTCTGCCTCCCTATAGGAAAAGCCAAGGTAATTAATGAATATCTTTTAAGGTAAAGTAGGATAGTATGAACCAAAAGTGCTAAAAATAGTATTTTATTTATTGATGACAGATTGAAAGAGAAGGAAAAGATGTAACGATCACAGCTTTCTCCAAGATGGTGGGATATGCCCTTAAGGTATATTTTTTTATTTACGAGTGCTAGGTAATACTTGTTGAGTAGTTAATCTGATGATGTTGATTTTTCTTATAGGCTRTTGAAATACTTGAAAAGGAAGAAGGGATAAATGCAGAGGTGAGTTGATATTGATTGTGTTATGGGTTGAAGGAGCATATTTGTAATATGTGAGTGTTAATTAGGTTATATATATATATATATATATATATATATATATATAAGGGCATATTCAAGGGAGAACTGAGTTATTTGTGGTAACTGTGAGAACCAATATTAACCACAAATCAATAGATAAATTAGGAAATTTATAAATTTGGTAATTTTAAATTAAAATCTTAATGCAAAGATATTTTTGGTATTTTAAAACTCTCTCCGGCCATGAGGGTCTTTTTCTTGAATTAAAGAAATTATGTTCTAATACAAAGTTGAAGCAGTTTGCAGATGAGTTCAKTTTTTCATCATCAAGAACTAAAAGCACTTAAATCTGCACAAGATCCCAGAAGAAGAATTCAGTAACTCTGCAGCTTAATCTTCGTGCTTGATGATTGCATGTTTTGGTTGAGGATTGGTAGTGTGGTTAACTATCTTCAGTTTTTTGTTGGATGTTCATCAGGGGCATTGTTGATACATGGGTCTTGCTTGTGGTTGCAACTCCATTTTTTAGTCCACTGCCGGGTGTTTTGGATCATTGGTTGTTGCAGTCAGGTATACCAAATGCTCCTTTTCACTTTCAAATGTATTGATATAAGCGTTATGCTTCTCGATTATCCATTTATCAAACCYTGGGATCCATTTACGTTTCAATAGGCTCCCACTACACCTCTAATTTATACCTATACATATATATAGTGTTTTGTATAAGATTTGCATCAGATGCCTATTACTATAAGCTTCTCTCATAGTGATCAAGCTTTTGTCTCTTGGTTCACATACATCAAACAGTTTTGTAMTTCCAAGGTGTTCATTTACTATAACATATTCATCTTTGTGATATGTAAATGCAAATGTTGCAATATTACTTTACATAAATAAAAGTCTTGCTAAATGTATTTGCACATATATATATATGTATATGTTGTCGAAACCATATATATCATTTTTTTTGTACATATGACAAATTAAAGTAGTATTGATTCACCAAAAGGGTTCTTTTTTTCTTGTAACAATAGTTTTTGTCTCTTTCTTGCAAGAAATTGGTAGCATGTTTCTCTAAGACTTAAGCATGTGTTAGCATGTTGAAGTAAAAGGCTAATTCTGATACAACACCACCCCCAGCAAGCAAGGGAACGATGGCGAGGATGAGGCTGAAGAGGTTCAATCACATGAGAGTGTCGTTGACCAAACATATACGGCTAGTTTAAGAGAAGAAATTGCGACACAATTAATGCAACATGAGTATTGATTCTAGTTGTTATGAGACAGTTAAACTTTTGAATGTATTAAAAATAGATGGTAGTTTACAAATAGTTTAAATGATTGGATATTTCAGTTGAATTTAATTGAAATCAATTGATTCAGATTTTATACATTTGTCAGTTTACGAAAACAAACAGTCTGACGGATTCAAATTTCACTCTTCAGACGTAAAAACAAACAGTCTGATAAATTCAGATTTCAGACTTCAGCACCATAACAAAAGCCACCTAACATTAATATATTTTTTTAAAATTTGATAATATCTTCAATCCAAAACTATATAAAAAAAAAAAAAAACGAGTCCTAAATTAATTTTGGTTTCCAGCGTAGGATCTATTTTTACCTGCACACCAGAAGTGGAGGGGAGACAAAGATAAAGAGATTGGGGGAAGGGGAATTCGATTTTGAGGGATTGACAGATGAGGAAGTTAAGATGGGTGATGGACGGCAGTGGGTTCTGGGATTTGGACGTCTCCACTCCGGCCACCCTCAACGGCCTCGCCCGACCCGTACCCGGTGACCCAACCCCATCCATCCTCGGATTGTCCAGAGGGATCCGTCTTTCAAGACCCAAACAGGTCGACTTCTTCCAGCGCTTCATGTTTATGCCATTTATCCCTTCTTACTCCATTGCTAGTCCTCATGCTCATGGAAACGGCTTCTCTCTTCAACGCCTTCTCTCCTTACCTTTCGCCCTGGATCGCTGGTTGGTTTTTGCCCTTTTTACTTCTATATTTATATATATATATATATATATATATATATGTGTGCGTGTGTATATATATATATATATATATATTGTGGTGTTGTTTTGTTTTCAACTCCTAAAATTCTTTATTTTGATCCATCTGATTACAAAATTCATGCAGGTTCGGAAYGGTGCTTGGTCAGTTCAATGTACAAAAGTTTGCGTCAAGTATCAAGAAAAATTGATTGAGGCAACCAACCCATCAATCTCCATTGTTCCAAAGCATTGGCAGACATCTGAGCGATAAGTCTTTGTATGCCATTGATKTCTGCTCAGAATTCTTCCTAACACCTGATGATTCTCTTCTTCTCAGCCTAGAATCTTATGGTGATGATGACTACAAGACACCTCGAAAGAAAGCAGTTTTTCATCACAAGGCAAGCATGTCATGTAATGTGAAACCTTAATTGTGCTTTTCTTGTGTGTTTTAGTAGGTTGTCAATAAAAAGGCCCATTATCAAAGATTCCTGAACCAAAGAGCTGCTTTAAGTGCTTAGGGTAACTAACTGTATGCAAACTAGTAGGGATTCTGTCTCAATTACCTTTTCTCATCTCATGRGGATTGTGCTTAGGTAACTTAAATCCAAGTATAACTAAGAGATGRAGAAAAGATTGTTGTTAGCTTAATGCTACCCTGGTAATGTAGTGTAATTACCCAAATCATGTGGTCCGGTAATGGAGAAAAGAATTCCCATCTTTCGGATGCATAATTTATTAAATATGCTTATACTTGCTGAATTTCCCAATATGGTTGATGATCATGTTAACAATCAGTTTACAATGGATCTGATTTGATTGAATCAAAATTACAACTCTTGCTTTGATACTAAATACAATTTTTKGCACAAATTGACCTGTTTCTATTGGTTTAGAACTTGCCAGAATATTTTACAAGTATGAGAAAATGGCTTTGTTTCTTGCAGTTCCCACATCA